ACCGCTCTCCCCTGCTGGCCTGATTGCCCCTAACCGCCTCTGCCTTGGCCCTGCTACCGTGGCTTTGTCGGGAAGACATCCGGTCTACCCAGTCTAATTAGCATATTACCCTTTTATTAGTATAGATGTTCTAGTGCTTGTCATGTAGTATTTGCTCATTAAATGAGGTATTCACCCCACAAATGTTCATTAAGTACCTACTATGTCCCGAGCATTGTACTGGGTCCTAGGACTATGACAGTAAATTAGATGCATGTTGTTTCTGCCCTTATGAAGCTTACAGGTTAGTAGGAATAACAGCTTGGAGCAGCGCCTTGGAAGCTATCATTATATTCTTTTCTAAAATATCATGTTTCCCTAAACACTTTAAAACATTTAAGATCTTATATGTACACTTTGAAACAGAATATTTTACCCTCTTTTCTAAAGAAATGGTCCTCAAAAGGGGTCAGTTTTGCTGCCCGGGGACATTTGGCAATGTCTGGAGACTTTTTTTGTTTTCATAACCTGGGGGCTGGGAGCGTGCTACTGGGATCTAGCGGGTGAAGGACAGGGATGCTGCTACACAGCCTACAACGCACAGGACAGCGCCACGACAGACTCACCTGGCCCAAAATTTGAATGCGCCAAGGCCAGAAACTATAGTCTAGAGGGGGCCTGTTTAGTTCACAACCAGTTATTTCTGGCAGCAAAGGGAGAGAAACACACTCCACCCTTATGAGTCTTAGAAGAGCGGCCCTTCTGAGCCCTATGCTCCATGCCACTCGCCTGTGTCGCAGGGGGCGCTGGCAGAGAATGGACCTGGGCGTCTGTAGTCGGAGAACTGAGCGCTGTAACTGCACTTGGTGAGTGTTACATTTGACTGGTTCTCCTACAGAAATAAGTTTTCAAACAGAAGCTCCTGCAAAGGACCTTGTCTTTTTTTACCCTTTGGAAACCCTACCAAGCTTTCGGTTCATTTGGTGGTCCTTCTTCCTGTTTAAAATGTTTTAAAAGTTGTCTGGGCATAATTAGTCCAATTGGTCTTTAGGGCAACCCAGATGTTCACAGTGGCTGGCTTTGATCTGGTGGTTTTCTCCTCTACGTGCAGCAAAGCAATAACATTCTGGAGAAACCCGAGGATGAGGGAGGGTGAGGCAAAATAAAAGGAAGTGAGAAGGAAATGGAGGAAGGAAGGGAGAGAGGAAAGGGGGGCGGGGGGGACGGACTAGTAAGCACAGAAAGAATAAATGGCCAGTTTTAACTTTCTCCACTTCAAGAGTCCAGGTTTCCAGCCTCAGCTTACCTCTTTGTCTCCTATACCCCTTCCCAGAGCACTGCACACTGGCCTACTTCTCTCTCCTCCAGCTCCTGGGCAGTTCCTGCCTCATCGCTGGGCCCTGAAGCAGAATCCTGTGTGGAAACAGCATACCCCTATGGGGCAAGGCTAGGATGTGTATGGGGGTGAAATTCAAGACTATTTTCCATCCCATTCACCTTGTCATAGTGAATGATCAGTACATAGACTATCCATCGGTTCCAGGCACAGGATGTATGAATCATGTTCCCACTCATATGGGTTGGATGATGACTCAGGCTACGATGTGAATCCCTTGAACTCCGTATTTCACATCCCATTGGCTGAACAAGCTACATACCTTTTCTTAGAAATGAGACTTGGTTTTAAAATGTGCAAACATCTGATCTGAAATGTGCAAACCACTCTTTGCCGATGCAGTGTTTTACTTGGAACTTGCTGCAGGTGTTAAACGTGCTGTTACAGATGCTTTGTCTGAGCCCACCTGCAGATGTTATGCCTCGCTCATAAAAGTCATCCTCAACAGAAAGTAACAAATTAATCAGAATCACTTGTGATACTTGTGGTTAACAGAATTTTGTGTTCGCTTAAGCATCGTTCTTTATGCTTTAAAAAGATCTGTTACTGGCAGGCGCCAAGTGTTTTATAGTTACATTACTTCCCGAATGTAAACAAGATTTTCATAAAAGCTTCCTGAGACGATATCTCATTGTTTAAACTTGCCCCTGACATAATAGCCTTCAATAATAAAACCTGGCCAGTGTGGCTCAGTGGTAGAGCATCTGAAGGGTCATGGGTTTGATTCCTGGTCAAGGGCACGTACCTGGGTTGCAGGTTTGATCCCTGGCCCAATCCAATCCCTCTCTCCTCTCTTCTCTCTTCTCTCTCTCTCTCTCTCTTTCTCTCTCCCTCTTCTTCCTTTCCTTCTCCCTCTCTTTTTCTTCCCCTCTCTCCCTTTACCCCCAAAGTACCTTTCCTTCTCTTGAATTTCTCCAACTTTGGTGTGTTGTTTTTTTTTATTGCTGACAATATTGCAGATGCCCCCCCACCCCCGCACCCACCTCGGTCCTCCATCCAGCCCCCACCCCCCTCTAACTTTGGTTTTGAACTCCTTAGAAATTCGGTGAGAGTTTCTGCTGGTTGCCTTATAGTGTGATGTTGAATAAACTCCCACATGCCTGGCACAGGGCATGTGCTCAGTTCGTATTTGTTAGACGGGAGAACAGGAGGGCTTTGCGAGAACGGGTTATCCATATATTACGCAGCTGTCGGCTGCAGTGTCCACTGAGGACCTTTCCTTCTCTGTCTCATCTGGGCATTTCCAGGACTGAGGGGTCTCTCACCAGGCCACTCTCCCTCCAGCTCTAAATAGGGCCTTTGTACTGGAGGTTGAAGCAGCATCCTCTTCACTGGGGCTCTGGCAGCCCAGACATTCCTCGGTCAGCCCAGCCGGTCAGCGGCGTGTCTGCTCTCTGAGCATTTGCCTCCAGGCCCGCAGGTCAGGCTGACTGCTGGAAGCCCAGGCCAGTGAGAGGAATGGAAATGATGGGGCCTGGAAATTCTTCACTCTTTGTTCTTCTGATCGGGTGACAGGATAATTAGTCCAAGTGAGATGCAGCCTCTCCCAGACTATACTTAGTCTAATTGCAGAGCTTTCTTGCCCCTGCAGAAGGCTGGGATTCCTCCCTGGTGGATGGGAAGTGCCAGAAGGGAACAGAATCAAGCAGGCCAGCCACAGCCGGGCCAGAGCATGCTCCCCCCTTCTCAGAAGGGAGGCAGTGGTGCAGCTTGTGTCCAGGATTCAGGAAATGGGGTTCCACCCCCCACTCTACCATTAACAAGCTAGACGACCGAGGACCCTTTATCCCCTCTGAGCCTCAGCTTTTTATGCTAAACAAGCATGATAATCTCTACCTCACAGGCACTAAAACTAGTGAGTTTAGCAACATCAGTATAAACATATAAATTGAGCCCTGGCCAGGTAGTTCAGTTGGTTAAGCATCAAGGTTGTGGGCTTGATCCCCAGTCAGGGCGCATTCAAAAACCAACCAAAGAATGCATAAATAAGTGGATATTTCTCTCGCTCGAAAATAAATAAAAATTAAAAAATATATAAATTGGATGTTTCTGTTCATCAGTTAACATTCAGAAGTTGAATTAAAAAAAATTTAAATTGTCACAGTATCATTTTTTAAAAAGTTAAATCTGACAAAAGATGTGAAAGATCTGTTCACCGAAACCTACAAGACAATGTTGAGAGAAAGTAAAGAATATGTAAATAACTGAAAAGATGCATCAATGGCAAATATAAGATCTCGTTTCTCCAAATTGATCTATACAGTCCTGTTTTTTAAAGAGGCTGACCACTGATTCTATAATTCATGTGGAAGTCAAAGGATCTAAAATAGCCTACCCAACCTTGAAAATAAAGAAATTGGAGGACTACAACTTTTATAAAGCCACAGTAATTAAGATAAAGTGGTATTGGTACAAAGATATACAAATATGTACATTTCCATCAGCAATGCACAGGTGTTCTGATTTCTCTACATCTTCGCCAACACTTCCATTTACTTGTTTTTTGATAACATCTATCCTACTGGGTGTGAAGTTGTATCTCATTGTGGTTTTGATTGCATTTTTCTAGTGATTAGGTGTGTTGAGCATCTTTCCCTATGCTTATTGGCCATCTATGTAGCTTCTTGTGAGAAATGTCTATTCAAGTTCTTTATTCATTTTTAGTTGGTTTTTCTTTTGCTATGGAATCATGGGAATTCCTTATACATTCTAAATATTATTAGAAATATGACTTGCATGCCCTAACTGGTTTGGCTCAGTGGATAGAGCGTCGGCCTGCGGACTCAAGGGTCCCAGGTTCGATTCCAGTCAAGGGCATGTACCTTGGTTGCAGGCACATCCCCAGTGGGGAGTGTGCAGGAGGCAGCTGATCGATGTTTCTGTCTCATCGATATTTCTAACTCTCTATCCCTCTCCCTTCCACTCTGTAAAAAAATCAATAAAATATTTAAAAAAACACAAGAATTTACATTTTAAAAAAAATATGATTTGCAAACATTTTCTCCCATTTTGTAGGTGTGGATTGCCTTTTCACTGTTGATAATGGCCTTCGATACACAAGTTTTCAATTTTTAATGAAATCCAATTTATTTTTTCTTCTGTTGCCTATGCTTTTGGCATCATATCCAAGAAATCATTGTCAAATTGAATTATGAAGCCCTTCCCATTTTGTTCTGAGTTTTTAATGTTAATTTTTGTATACGGTGTAGTGTAAAGAGTCCAATTTCATTCTCTTGCATGTGAATATAAACATTTATTGAAAAGACTGTGCTGTCTTCATTGTCCAGTCTTGGCACCCTTGTCAAAAATCATTTGACCATATATGTGAGTGTTTATTTCTGGGTTCTCTATTCTATTCCATTGGTCTGTGTATCTGTATTTATGCTATTACCACTGTAGCTTTGCAGTAGAGACTTGCTTTTTATTTTTTAAATACACACACACTTTTTCTGGCTTGTGTTCTTTTATTCCTCAAGTGTTGCCTGAAGAGACCAGCACTTTCTGTGGCATCCAAATTTAGCCAGAACACAGGGACAATTGTGCCACCGGGCACAGGGAAGGTGCAACAAGCAGGTAAGTCATTCAGCATGATGTCTGGTTTCTTTGGAAAAGAAAAGGCACAATCTAGAGTAAAACTGTATGCCTTTATTCAACATAAATGAGTCATTAAGATAAAATACAGTTCATCCATGTACAGAAATATTATTATACATTCAATTCTGAAGAAGGTAGTTTTATACAACCAATGAAAGGAAGTCTAAAAATGAGAGGAATAAAGATGACAGTGAGGAGCTAAAAGGCAGTTTTATGTGTCAAAGTGCTAAGGCCTCTGTGCACCAAGATTTTAAAGTGAACAAGACTAACTTAAGGTCATTCTTCCATTCTAACTTCTCTTGGTGCTGGTGAAAGTCTTCAGGTGTGATATAGTGAACAACAGAATTAAGATGGGTTTTTAAAGAATAGATCATAGCACTTATGGCTAAGAAAAAAGGTGTTAAGTTCTAGAGTCATTTGTCATGTACTCTAGATCTTTCATGGACTCCATTTCGTGAAATCTCTAAGAACAAAGTTGCCCTTCCAACAGTAGTTTATTATCAGAGATCAAATGACCAGGTTCTTCCCAGCTCAGAATCCATCTCCTTATGCAACAAAAGGGAAACCAAATTTGAGACTCAGGAAGAATTCCATTAATTTAAAGCAGGTATAGTGATTACATGGAGGTTTAGCTAAGGTCACTACTAAAGTCTTCAAATTGCCACTGCCTAAAAACCTAAAGTGAAAAAAAAATTGATGACTTGGGGTCAAAGTCCAACTTCATCATTCCTAAGCTCTAGGTCTCTGAAAACATTAGACTCTGGTTTTTGAAAAAAGAAGAAAACTGATCCAAGAAACATAAAATTTTATGAACCACAATTTCCCTAGGAAGAGCATAGGCTGGGTGTGAAATAATAGTTCTAAAGTATCTTCATATATGTTGATAACATTAAATGCATTGTTTTCTCATTTGGCGAATCTGAATTTTAAATATTTAAATAGAGGGCCCATGATTAAAATTAATAAAATTAAGTGTTGACAGAAATTGGTTTAATACTACTTATGAGCCAACGTCTGGATCAGTTAACAGACCCTGGTGCACAACCCTAAATCGTGATCAGAGGCTTAAAGCTGCCACCACAATTCAATTGAAAATCCACAAAATGCCTCCAAATTCCATGTTCCACTCATGGCAATTCATTATCTTATAAGAACCCAAAACTTTAAAACAACAATAATTTAAAGTTTACTTAAATCCAATCTTGGGTTTACCTTTCTTCTTCCCTAGGCATCCTCAAGGCTTGCAGTCAAGATGAAAATCAGATGTTTTTAAATATCCTAAAACTCCTTTTGAGTTTGAAGAACCAAAAAAACTTGAGTTTAAAGTTACTCTACGGGAGAGCCCACTATCTACTCACAGCCCCTCTCCACAGCTGATCCTCTCTGGCTCTCTTCAGTGTCTGTCCTTCCTGTTAAAAGGAAATCTTTCTAGGAGACTCCCTTTTTAGGTTGAAACTGAAAGCTACATGGAGGTATAGAGATTCCTTAGTTTTATAGTCTCTATGAAAGAAGCCCAATCTTCAGTTTAAGGTCACCAAGTACTAGGAAAATACAGGATATCCACCCTCCTACTTCCTGGACAGAGATGAGACTACATACCTTACATCGTGGAATACACCGAATACCTCTTGGACTAAAGGTAAATATGGATGTTTTTGGCATACAGGATTCAAGTTGCCCATCCAGTAACACAGGTTAAAGACAAAAGGTAAGGAAAATCCAATAAGCACTGATAAGATACAATGGCATCCTTTTGAAGCCTTCTACCAGAAAACCTTAAAGAATTAGGATTTTGGCCACTAAAAAGGGCTAGGGTTCTGCTGAAGCCTCTTTTAATTCAAGTTTTGTAACTTATAGAAGGGGGGAAAGCCAATTCTACAATATTAGAATAAAAAAGAACACTATATCTATTGAGGAAAAAAAAAGGGGGTGCAACATGTCTTCAGAGATACACTGCTTTCTCACCAGGCTACCAGATGAAGATCAAGGTATGATTTTTTTTTATTCCCGTTAGCTTCTTTTGGGTTATTTACCCACTTGTTATTCGGAAGGTTTCATTAAACACAAGCTAAAGCATCTTTACTGATATACTGACAGAAATTAATTGAAAGGAATTGCTTTTGGCCCGATTATTTCATCAATTTAGATATTACTAAGAGATTTCTTAAAATTTCTATCAACTCTAAATCTTCCAATGGAAGTTCTCAAAAACAAAAACAAAAACAGGTAAATTAACATGGCTCCCGACTTCCACATTGTCTCATCTAGGTCGATGCCTTTTCTTCATGGTTTGCCACTGTTTTGCCCAGTGTCTCAAATGCTTCTATTTCGTAATTCATTTACAATTAAACTTCCATGTCTTGGGAAATACATAGCATATATTACTCCGTGAGCCCTGCACTAGACATATGCTGTATGGTTACTACATTAGCAAGATCTTTCACAATTTTGTTTGCTGCTTTTGTTTACCTGTGCATAACCAGAACTTCCGCAGTGCTTAGTACATGTAGGGGTTCAATAAATATCTGAGTTAGCAACTAACATTTGTACACAAATAGCTGGAAACAGTATGCAAAATCTGATTTCTGACCATTTGTAGTCAAGTAGTGTCAAAAGCAATGAACACAGGTTTCTAAGACTGCGATGTCAATAAAGTTGAGGATTCAAGTTGAAGCTGTGTCCTGGTATATTGCTCTTTCTCACTCAACCGCAGACCAAATATACCTTTAGGCTCCTATGTCATTACCTGAATGCAAGTTTTCCTTCCAGTGAGGTAGGAGGCCCTTTTAAATAATGATGAATCTGTACTAGAAATGAGGTGGGGGAGATGTCTCTGTAAATGGTCATCATGGACTGGCTCACACACATTTAAATATCTCATCTTCTTTCCTATCATATGTGGGAATTATGGAGATGCAGATGTTCCCTGAGACTTAAGAAATTTTCTTTAGAAATGGTGTATTTTCAGTAAAGATTTAGAGTTCTGTTTTTTTTGACAGTTAAACTATCATCAGTCAACCCCAATATATGAAATTTCAATTTTTGAAAAAATAGAAAGGCTGTCTTTTAAAAAGCATTCTATGTATCCTATTAATTTCCAAAATATGCTATTATCAGTGAAAATAACCACAGATGAGCAAATTTGGGGTGAACTACACGATAAAGTCAATTTCATGCGTCATTAAGATACATTCTTGAAATTCTGACCTTATTTTCTTTCATGTTATCAAATAAATCTATATATTATTCATTTTAAAAGAATGGGCTACATACCACATACCTTTACTTCCAAAGACTATCTAGTTATCACTTGGTTTCCTCAAGCATATCCTAAAACTAAATATTTGTAACCACAACTCTTGCACATCAGGATTCCAGATTATCTTGAAGTATGGGACTACGGACAATTAATGTCTTCTAACATGTGGGCTCAGTCATTTTCACAAATGCCCTTCCTGACACTACGGAGGTCAAAATCCACGTTCACCTAGCTCTTCTACCTCTCCAGATCAACAGGGATATAAAACTGGCTATGAAACTCATTTCTCAGAGAAAAAAATGGGAAACAGTAAGTGTTCTATTATCTTCATGAGATTATTTCTTCACACACCCCTAGGCCTGGAAGGTGTTGGCAGTGAATGTTTGCTAATGAATTATTAACCAGTGTGGAGAAAGGAAAACCTATTTTCCCCGGAGATATTTTCTTACCATTTGTTTTAGAAGCAAACAATGAGCATTTTTTTTTTTTTTAAAGAATGCACCTAGGGTTTTATTGTTTTTGTTTTACTTTCCTACTGGCATGAGGTGGTCAGGAGACAGAACAGTTTAAGGGTAAAAATAGACGGACAGATTGAGAGAATTTAACGTTTTTACTATAGTTCTGAACTCTCCCAATAGTAATATAAGGCAACTGAGGGCCCTTGCCCACATCACTCAGATACATGTCAGAACTCGAGATTCACCAAAGACTCCAGTCTTCATTTTCCCTTTAATTATCTTTTAGTTAATAAAATGAAAAATAAGAATATACGAATACACACAATCTATATACATATATTTATTGCAAATACTTAAAGTTCTTATGTAAAATGATTTTTCTATATTTGTGAAAAAATATGACTTTTTAAATGGTGTTGACACCAACTTTTCTGTACATACCCTCAATTCCAATGTTAACAATTCCTTTAAAAAGGCAAAAAGACACAAAAGTTTAGCTTTTACCAAACCAGTCTATACAAACCTTATAGCCAAAAGGAAAAAAAAATAGCTTGTGGTAAATAAGTCAATTTTCCTTTCAAATAAAAAATAAATTCCAACCCCCTTATTGCATTTTTTTTGGAAATAATCTGAATGTCTTTAGAATAACTTCCTTTGAAATTGTGCCTTAACAGTGAGGTCCTACATTACACATCCCATATATGAGAAATTCAGTCTTCCACTGTTATTTTTTACATAGATATTAAAATATATATTACTTAAAATATATTATTGGAAAGCTATTTTTAAAATTGATCTTTAATAGTTGTATCAAATGTAAAGCATTAATAAAAATAAAGTAACCAATAATCTATGCGGCTCTTCAACTTTAGGAAATGTTTTTACCTATCGTTTTCTTTCAATAGGTATGTAGGTATTGAAACATGGTAGGAAAGATCTCTGCCCATCATCATGTTTCTCAGTCTCTTTGGACTTGTCTATAAATTGAGCTGAAAACTACTCTTGGCCAAGTTTTTACTCAGCACATTGCTGTAATGCAATGGGGAGACTCCCTCCTTGTCGTGAAATCGAACCTCTAGGTTACAGAGAACAATCCTCGCACTGCTCACTGACAGTGAGTTCTAGAAATAAATAGCAGTGTCATGACCAGAGAAGACCCCCTAATTACAACAAATCATTTCACCCAAGAGTTTTTGAAAGGACTCTAAGGCAGAGAATGGCAATAATAAGCAATTAGGATGGTGACTATCAGGTCATTAATATGTATGATTTATCCTTCACCTGGAAGGCAATGAGGTCTTCCTTTGGCTTATTTAAATGAGATAACTTCCTAAAACAACTCCATCTGTGTGCCTTCCCAGCCCATGCAAGTATGCTTCTCCTACCCCGAGTAAAAATACACATTTGTCAGGTCTGATTCTTTAAAATGTTACATGGGATACCACAGATAGCTTTAGTATCTTGAGCACAGGAGTTAAGGAATAAAAGCAGAGCAAACAACGCCAGGTTATTTGGCTTTATTCTCTATTTAATAGGATAGAGAATTTTAGTCAAAATTCTTTAAGACTCCGGGAGCCTCTTTACTAGATGACTCAATATTCATAAGCGAGACTGAGATGACATACTGTTAGTGCTTGCTCCCCAAGGTGACCTGCAGTGGGAGGTATCGGAAGCACACCCTGGAGGCATAATAAGCATCAGGCATAATGCCTGACTAGTCACTCGAAACAGTGCAACTTAATATCAGACAAATAAGCTTAGCACTTACTAAGTTGAATTGAATGGTAAAGTAATTCTGAAAACCTAAAATAAAAATTGCTTTAAAGGTACTGGAGTGCCATGCCACACTTCAATAATTTAATGATTTTCTTGTTCCTTCTGCCTTGTTTCAAGATCATAATTTTCTCCTCTATTCAGTTCATGGCTTTCAACTTGAAACCACTGTTTTCAAACAAACTGATATATGGGTTGTATTCAGTTTACTACCAATCTAAGAAAACCTAACTATTCTCTCTTTTGGTCAATATTGAGGCAGTGTACCTAGTTGACAATTTCTGTTTTAGGGGCAGTAATAAGTGCAGGTATTTTATTAGTTGGGTATTGTATTACTTCTGAAGAAAATCTTGTGAACAGTAAATTTTAGGACCATCTGCAAGAGCGTGGGTCAAGATGAAGAGGCACGATATGGTTTGCTCTCTAAATGAACTTGAAAATCCCTGATCCTTTCCTCCTTTCCTGGTTAGTCTATCCATCCTCAGCTTAAAGGAACCACAGAGCAGATATTTTCTATTTCAGGAAAGTTTCGAAGAAGAAAAGCCACATTAATCAACCCCAATTGGTAACTAATTGGTCAGTTCTAAACTCTCAGCAACTTCCAGCACGCAGACCAACCTTCAGTCTGCCACTCAAGTGGGGAGTGCAGAAGCTGGGCAATGGAAGTTCTAACCAGCTTTAGGTCTTTTCAAGTTCCCCCTGAATTTCCCAGGGTACTGAGAGTTTGGGAACAGAACCACGGTTTCTGTGTGTTGCTGGTTCTTAGCTGGAGAATTTAAACCTTATCCCTGGATCCTTGCAGCTTTCATTTCTCTTAGCTATATGTGTGCTGGAAGAAAAAGGGAAGTTAGAATGACATATTGTCTTGGCTGCAACAAGAACACAGATATTAGTCCTCTATTTGCCTTGGACCACACAAAAAACAGAAGCAAAAAAGTGAAGTAATGAGTCTCTTAGGGAGTTTGAAAATATTAAGAGTGTATAACATGGAGGGAGGGGAAGAATGGGTAGCAGAATGGAAGCAAAGCAAAGATTATTACTGCTACTTTCTCCTAATCTGGAATGTGACTTAATTAACAAGTATACACTGTTCTGCATGTTATAAATACCACATCCTGAATACTAAGTACAACTACAACTGTACTAGTTATAGTATTTTTACTTTACACACTTGGAATTAGAAAACTTGAAATCAATATGCAAATGATGCACGTCGACAATACCCCATTTTAAAATACCAAATTCTGGTAAATGGTCGGCTTATTTGAATGTTCTTTAACCATGACCTAAATATATGTACTTGAAAATTCTTTAGTTGCTAAATACAGGCTTAAAAACACAACAAGGACACACAAAAAAGAATAAAAACAAACAACAAAGCTTTAGAGGTAATTTCCCCCCTTTCTAGATGTTCCCCTAGCCATTTACTGAAGCCCCTTCACATTAAAAACTTCTAGTGCATAGACAGCAGAAATCCAAAACAGGGGACATATTTTCTAAAACAGGAAAAGTGTCTGACTTTTATTGTATGTGTGAGTGCATACATGTCTTCAAAGTAACATATTACTCCATACTCCTCAGATGCCTGGGAGGTCAAAATAGGTTTACCAGAATGGGCAAATGTGGCCCTCATGAGCTGTTCTACCGCAGCAACAGCTGACTACGGGACATCAGGTAATGTGTTGGAAGAAAAGAAAGAGGCTACCTTGTTTCTAATGTTAAAAATCTTCCCCAAATATCTTTGTCGTTTCTACACCTTTACTCCCCTTGCACAACAAAACACATAATTCACATTAGCCCAGCACTAACACTTTCCTGTTCATTTTATACTAGTATTTCAAACCTGTTGTAAGCTCCCATGACTAAGTACTTGGGCTATTGCTGGAACTGTTGCCCTGCCCAGGCTATGGTAACACCAGGGGCCAGAGAGGCACACTCTTCCTGGACCACCTTCACTATCTCAGGGCAGGGGAATGGGATTAGGGAACAGCAGGGACCCACAAATTGCACACAGTGTGCTTGGCAATAGTATTGGCTTATGGAAGCCAAGAACCAAGTCAAGAGCTTTCAGAGTCTGAAGCACTAGCTGTGAAATGAATACCTTATCAAAAATTTGAACTTAAGATTCCATCTAAAGTAAAGGGACTTAGTAAACCCTGAATCCATATTCTGGAAAGGCTGAATAATCCACATAAAACCTACAGGCAGATGATTAAGACATAATCAGCATGAAACATCATTTCTCCAGACCATTTTGTTCACTCCTTCCTCTTCCCAGCCTCTTAGGAAAGGACAGAAGGCAGACAAGCTTCCTTTCACCATGCATGGCATTAAACTTGGAGTCACATGAAGTAGACCATAAATTTGAATTAAAAGTAATACATTATTACCTAAACACTTGGAAAAGTAATGTTAAAACAAAATGTGACATATTTACATGATTTTGTAAGTGCAAACTTGTCACAAATTCACAAAGTCTTGTTGACTTAGACTTACTAGAAAGGTGCTCTTGCTCTAAAATGTAAGATCTGTACTCTGTATACCTGATTAAGTAACATTTGTCTCTCGACAACTGAAATCTACTTGTTTATTTCTGTGATTCCAAAGGACACAAAAATACAGCCTGCCACCCCTTCCCTTCTACCTCCTTTACAGCGTGTTCTTTCTCGTCTTGTTACCGAACAACAAGGCAGGAGACACACAGTTTGGAGGGGCCAATGCAGTCATCATGGCAGAAGGCGCCACACCCCTTGCACATGATCATGGCTTTCAATCGGCAGTAACATTTCGAAGGCGTGTCCTCTATGCTGTTGTCTTCAGGAAATGCCTGAACAGGAATGGTCTGGCCATGGCTGCTGGGATTCATGGCTTGGCTAGCAGGGATGGTAGTGACAGTCACTGAAAAGGACATGACATCACCTACATTGCTAGATACCTGGCCACAGTCAGGCATCCCCGGGACAGCAGAGTTATGGTCCATGTCAGACGAGGTGGAGACATTGATCATGCCTCTGTAGCTGGGCCCAATCTGTGTGGGGCTCCCATACAGCTTTGGGGTTTGCAGTGGTGGAAGGAGGAGAGGCTGATGAGTGGGACTGTCTGCAGGTGGAGGAAGAGCAGTGGCACTGAAAACCTCAGGGCTGCTATGCATTGCCTTCCCTCTCACTGCATGAGCCATCTGCTGCTGCGCTGCCTGAATAAGATCTCTGGCTAGGGTCTTTTCATCAAATGTTTGGCCTCTAGTGAACAGATAATTCTCCTTATTTAAAGCGGTTTGCACTGGTGTCTCTACCTTCACATTCTTTTTAGCTAAACAATCAGTGGATAGGGCTTCTCTACTGTGGGGTCCTGAACTTGCTTCACACTTGCCAGAACTCTGGGAAGCCTGGGGCTCCTCCTTCACCATGGCCGATTCTTCTTCATCAGCAGTACTTTCCTCATCAGTATCTTCTTTGTCACTGCTATTATCTCCCGTTTCATTTTTACAGTCTGTATATCCCATTTTCAAGGCTTCAGTGGGACTACTTAGACAAAAGCGATCTTCAGGGTTTACAGAATGGGTCCTCCTAAAGCTCTCTGAACCCCGGCCGTAGGTGGAAATGTTAAGTAAGTAGTGACCTGCCATTGCAGGCTTCGAAGTCCTTCTGCCAGCAAAGCCCAGCATGAACCGCTGGCTTGTGGAGATGTCTTCTACCTGGAAACCTGAGTGAGTGAAGTTGAACTGGGAGGGCTGCACAAACGAGAGAACATTATGCCTCTGGATATGAACCCTCTGGATGAGAGTCTGAAGGATCTGATCTTGGGTTGCTTTACTTAGTCCTTCTTGGTGTGTGTCAATGCTGGAGTCCCTCAGATCCTTACCTGAAAAGAGCTGAAGGGGCCTGGGAACCTGGGAGAGATGCTTACTTTGCAAGGTTTGACCCAGTTGCTGTGTAGCTGGATGGGAAGGCCTCTCATGAACTTCCTCTCTGGTGCTATGTTCTGTTTTGTTGGCGCCTGTGGGTGCTCCCATCCCTATTTCCTCTTTTGCAGTCAGAGGAACAGTTTTCATTTCAACTTTGGTGAGTGGTTTAGGCAGAATCTGCTCCATGGGAACATCTTTGCCCTGGAGCAGCTGAGTGACCAGAGGATTATTAGCAGGGATACTTGAGCTTGGCCGTGAAATGGATCCATTCATATTTGAAGAAGTTCCTGGAGTTTTAAGGCTAGAAATTGCTGGCAAAGTGCTTGAGGATGGAACTGGTCCGGAAGGTGCTACAGTTCCACTAACCTGGGGTATGGAAAGCTTTTCTAAAGTGGCTGCTATTAATAAAGATGTTAAAGGGGAGGAAGTCATCTCCACTGAAGCCCTGGCAGTTGTCTCTGCTGAGGCTGAAGTGTTTGGTGTATTCTTACTACAACCTGCTTTGGGCTCAACTGTGCCATCAGCTGCAAAATGAACAGGTGTGGCGTCTGAGATTAGAGCAGGACCCGCTGGAGCAGAAGGTAACTTCTCCTGCCTGCAATGACTGGGCCCTTGTGGGTGGCTAAGCGAGGCCACTGTGGCTGCTGCCCTGGTGGCATTCAGTTTCTCAATATTCAATTTCCCTAAAGTTGGTGTGGGTGGGTCAGTGTGAGCTAGTGATGGGACACTTGTGCATGCTCCACTGATGGCAGACGTTGGAGGCACTGAGGAGGTTTGCTGTAGTTGTGCTCCAGAGACACTAAGAGGCTGTGGCTGGCCTGGGGTCTTGGTCTCAGATTGGGGCTGAGTCTCTGAACCACAGGGTAAAAGCTCTCTCGGACCTCCCCTGCTTCCAGTTCCTGCCAGTTCCAGTGTGGGGCCCTTTCCAGTTTCTCTGACTCTGTCTGAGTCCGGATTCCCTCCTCTAGCGGTTTTCCTTTCACCACCCTCTCCTGGGCCTTGTCCACCCCCTGGGCCAGGTCCTGGAATGGTCCCTCCAACTGAGGCGGCTGCAGCAGCTGCGGCGGCAGCGGCAGCTGCTGCCCTCTGTGCTTTGACCAGCTGGGCTTTTGCTTTGATGTCGGCAAGAGTTCTGGCTCCTGTTCTGTTAGGACTAGTGATGGAGACTGGAAAACGAGCCCTGGGAGAGACCTGCGATGTAGGAAACAGCATGGGGGAGATTCTGGAGACCGGGATCTGAAAGAAGTAGGGGAGGGGGAAACGGGACAACAGAGCTTAGTTTTCATTTATAAGAATAACAAAACGTTAATAACATATTTTTAGAATAGGATGAACACTACAACACCTGTGACAAAGATGGGAAGTTTCTGATGAGAGACCAAATCATGCAGACAGCAACACAATTTTTATATACATTTATAACATTTGCAATAAAATTCAAATTTTGTTTTTCTATTTAAATTTTGTTTAAAAGGTATTTTGTTATAAACGACTTTAAGCTTTGTCTAAGAAAGCAGGATTTGAAATAGAGTCTAAGGTAAAATTATAGTTACTAAAGCAACTTCTGGTACAAATTCTTTTTGGGGGGATAAAGAAGAAGAAAGTAGAAGGAAAAAAGTTAAATAGTATTAGCTTGGTGACAATGGATTTAAGTTTTCAGCATTGAGCCTCTTTGGATTAGTAAACTATGATGTAATTCAGCCTCTACAGATTAGGAAATAGAAAGGATAGATCTCACCATGTGTCATTGATATAAAGTAAAATCTAAACATAACTCAGCTCTCAGGTCTGAAGATTAGTTCTGATTAAGATTCATTAAAAAAAGGTTTCTAGCCCTAGCTGGTTTGGCTCAGTGGATAGAGTGACAGCCTGCGGACTGAAGGGTCCCAGGTTTGATTCTGGTCAAGGGCACATGCCGGGGTTGCGGGCTCAATCCCCAGTAGGGGGCATGCAGCAGGCAGCCAATCAATGATTCTCTCTCATCACTGATGTTTCTATCTCTCTTTCCCTCTCTCTTCTTCTCTGAAATCAATAAAGATAAATTTTTTTAAAAAGTTTCTACTATCTTTATAAGAATAGTAAAAATAATTATCGTATAAATCAGAATATCTGGCAAAGCATGACAGAATGTTAGTGGTAGAAAATTGTCAAAAATAAGGAAAGATTCCTAAGTAATGAAACCATAAATGGTAAAAATAAAAAGTAATGAGGAACATCATACTTTTAGTAATAAGAGGCAAAATGAGAAACAGAAGTCATGTGGTACGTGAAATGGGTCAAGTACTAGTAAATGAATGTTTCCATAGGATATTTCCTGACAGAACTAACTTTGATTCACCTAAGTTAAATAAAAGGAGGGAGAGGGAAGCAGTATTTCTATATGGCTTATTTTTCTACTTATATCCTACAGTGAATGAACACCCAGTGCCTGGGCTCACAATAGACACAATGGTTTTAATAAATACTATTAATAAAAACATATTAATAAATATTATGTATTAATTAAATAAGTGAAAGGACTGCAAACTGATATTAAGCACAAACCCGAGAAGTAATAAACCGTTAAATCAAAAGTAAAAATGTATTTGGGTTTTCAAAAGTACACTGCTGATTAGATGCAGTCGTTATATACTGAGAGAGACACTGCTATAGGAATTTGAAAGATTTGACAAATAGAAATATAAGGTTAAAACAGAAATTAATGACATATCCTAACAGTAGAGCTTAGCAAGACTATGCCATCTTACCAATGTCCTTCAAGTAACCAGTGGTGACTCATGGTAGCCACACATTTCCTTTAAAAGGATGGACTAGCCCAGCCAGAGTGGTTCAATGGTTGAGAGTCAACATATGAACCAGGAGGTCACAGTTCAATTCCCAATCAGCACATGCCTAGGTTGTGGGCTCAATTCCCAGTAGGGGAGGATGTGCAGGAGGCAGCCGATCAATGATACTCTCTCATCATTGATGTTTCCATCTCTCTCTCCCTTCCTCTCTGAAATCAACAAAAATATATTAAAAAAAAAAAGGATGGACTAAAGGTAGCTCTAGAACTACACATCACATTAGTTATAGTAGTAAGAAAAAGGCCAAGGTACACTTAAATATCATGGTTTTTGGTACAAATATATGATCTTTGGATCACAACAATGGCCTCATGTTTATCATTATACTTCTTACTACAGGCCCAGTGCACAAATTCGTGCACCAGTGGGGTCCCTCGGCCTGGCCTGCGGGATCGGGCTGAAACCGGCTCTCTGATGTCCCCTGAGGGGTCCCGGATTACGAGAGGGCACAGGCCAGGCCAAGGGACCCCACCAGTGCACGATCAGGGCCAGGGAGACACAGGAGGTTGGCCAACCGGGGAGGGACCGTGGGAGGGCTACAGGACCTGTCTGGCCAGTCTCGCTCAGTCCCGATTGGCTAGACCTGAGCAGCAAGCTAACCTACTGGTCAGAGCATCTGTCCCCTGGTGGTCAGTGCACATCATAGCGACTGGTAGACCGGTCGACTGTCTGCCCCTGCACGTCATTACGAGCGATTGAGCAGCCTTAGCATATCATGCTTTGATTGGTTGAATGGCCAACCAGTCGACCGGACACTTAGCATATTAGGCTTTTATTATATAGGATTTTGCTACATGAGACAATAATTTCCATAATTGTCTTAAGATACAAAAGTAGCCATCAGATATCCAGGTACCTTACTTAGTCAAACAATAAAGATCTGTAGGAATGTAGTCTAAATAGCTGTTTATTGACAATTTTATATATATAAGACCACAGTTTTTATATGAATATCTATAATTGCTTCAGCATTAAAAAATACCACTAATTACTTCAAATTTGGTAGGCATGACCAAAAACTTAGTGTTCAGGCCACCTCTCTCTTTCAGTTCGGTAAATTCTCTTACCTTGAGAGGTGGTACTTTTCGCACTTGGATCCTGTCCCCTCTATTAAGAAAGGGCTGTGGAGAGACTTGAAATGGCTGCTGGTGCTGGCGATTCTCAGTGACACGCGGCCTTTTCTCCCAGCTTGTAGGGGCCTCTTCTTGGGTGAGAGATTTCCTCTTGAGGCTTTCTGGGCTGTGATCGACCAGAGTTGATGAAGGCTCTTTCATAGTGGCCCCCTGTGGACCTGCTTCTATTATGGGCTTCATTATTGGTTTCTCTACTCCAGGACTCTTGGGTTTGCTTGGAGACTTAACTAAAGCTTCTTGGCTTTCATTTTTGTTATAATTAGACGCTGTAGTGAGATGATTCTCTTTCTCAGATTCCTGTTCAGCAGAGGCAACTGGCTTCTGCCCCGAGACATCTTCATCCTTTGGGCACTTGATGGGAAGAATGCTGCTAAGCTCATTTGTATCGCTGGGAGAGGAAAGAAGGGGCTCTGTGGACTCAGGGTTTGGCTGCACCTTATCTTGGCTTTCGTGCTCTTCTTTTCTGACTGGTGATGGCATATGCACTACTTCTTCTTTAGATTCTACCTGGGGAATTACAGGGATTATACTGACAGGAGAGGCCTCTGAAGGAAGCATGGATTTTGGTTGCTCAGCTGAGGGTCTCTTTACTTTGGGATCGCTGGGTGAAGCTGTCAATTTCTTTGAATCCTCTAGGCTCAGGCCAGAACTAAAAGGTGGAAGAAAGAAATATTCTAGTTGAGAAATGGCCCATGTTATTGAAAACATTATGAGATAATGGTATATGGCAATGCCTAGAACCTGATGCATAATATGTATCCTTCTTATAATATCTTCTTCATCATCATCATCATCATCATCAATATTATTAATCATCATCATCATCAGTATTATTATTATTATTATTATTATTATTGAAGGTTCTGGAGCCTGACTAGCCATGTTATATTAAGCAAGTGACTAGACTTCTGTACCTCAGTTTCTTCAACTGTGCACTGAGGTTAATCATTTGATAGCATTGCTATAATCATTAACTAAGTTAATGCATGTAAAATACTTAAGATTAGTACCTAGCCCATAATAGAAGTTCAATAATGTTCATTATTATTATTACTTCCTGTTATAAAGGGGCCACACTGTCTAGAGACATGCATCACAGACTATCCTCGAGGGAAGTGAAAGAAGGCCAAGATCGACACACCCTGAAATTGTGGGTTTAGACTGGATCAACTGTGCTCTGCAGTATCTGTAGAAAACCTAAGAGACCCTGAGGAGATAATAGGAGAGTTGGGAGATAATAGGAGAGTTGGCTGTCAATGTTCTCCAGAGGATGAGAATTACAACTCTGAGTTTTCGGAAAGCCTATTTAATTTACTTGATATAGCTCTGTAATCCAGTGCCTCTGAGTTATCCTGGGAGTGAAGGACAATTGGGACTACTGTAGTGTGGCCTGGCTAAGAACTAGGCTACTCTGTAGGGGTCATAGGGACTCCTTCTAATGTTTGAGAATATTGTTTAATGGGAAGCACTGGTGGTTCAGTGGTAGAATTCTTGCCTCCCATTTGGGAGACCTGGATTCCATTCCCAGCCTATAGGTTCAGTTTCTGGCCTATATATTCTAGAATAATCCTTAACAGGCAAAAACAAGGCAAACCTCTTTGGTGACTTCAAATAATCAGTACTGCACTTCTGAGATGAAATGGCTAATTACAAAATTGGACAGTAATAAAAAACAGCCCTTCTATAAAAGTTGGCAAAAAGAGCTAAATACTGAAGGATCCAAGAACTGCTGTAATGCTCTATCTCCCTGAGGAGAGAATGAACAATATTTTGGAATACCTGGTATCTGTAATAATGGTCTAAATCAGGGGTCCTCAAACTTTTTAAACAGGGGGCCAGTTCACTGTCCCTCAGACCATTGGAGGGCCTATAGTTTAAAAAAAAAACTATGAACAAATTCCTATGCACACTGCACATATCTTATTTTGAAGTAAAAAAACAAAACGGAAACAAATACAATATTTGTATTTGCATGTGGCCCGTGGGCCGTAGTTTGAGGACCCCTGGTCTAAATGTATACATACCGTCATTTCTATAGAACTCAAAACTCATACCAAGAATATAGAAAAATCAGTATATGAGACTCTTAATCCCAACAGGAATCATTTCCTAAATGACCATGAAGATGTCAATGAACATCACTTAGAGAAAGGGAAGCGAGCCAATAGTTCTCAAGCTGTGGTTATGGAGTCTCCTTAAGGGTTCCCATTAGTTATGCAAAAGAAAGGGAGACTAACAAACAAATAAGACTGGGTGTTCAATCCTATTTCAAACAACACAGCTCCATTGTCTCCTACTTCAATGTCCTCCATTAAGACTTCATTCGGATTTTTTGTTAGAAAAAAACTGATTTAGACTACAGCTTCTTGAGAACAGGATTTATATCTTGTTTCAGAGTGCCTTCTACAGAGGAGAGGCCGTTTAATTAAACATTGGATATAACAGACCTTGTTACAGGATCCCTAGAATTCCTTAGTGATTCATATTGTGGAATTAAAATTACTGTATGAAATATATAGAACTTCAGTATTTTTATATTTTATAAAGATACTGGAAGAAAAGCCAATCTACTTAAAGAAAGACACTTTAATTCAAGATCATTAAAATCTTTTTTTTTTTTAAAGAAACCATCCCATCCATAACCAACTCTGTGTCCTTGAGAATTGTAAAGAGAAAAAATTTTCTCAGTAAAGAACTGTGAAAATATAGAAGGAAATTAAGGACTAGATTTTCTGGGAAGGTAATAAGATGAAGCACCACATGATAGAATCTATTTTGATATTACCTCTGACCATAGTAGCTTTCAAAGAATTGCTCCTTCCATGGCTCTACTTTTTTCTCCTTCTCAATTTCTTGTCGAATTCTCACCTGCATCTCAGGTGTAAACTCACCTATAAATGTAAAAAAAGAAGAAGATATTCAATAGATATACTGTTTGCCACTTTTAACTATTTGTAAATCATGAAAGACTCATGAAGGAGTCAGAATACAGTCCTGTGAAAGCAACAAAAATCTGCCCAAATTCCTCACTGTTAGAGTGCCATTAAGAGCAATAAAAATATGTGTACACCACTCCATGTAGTTTTTAGTACGCAGCTGAGGCCAACTGGGCCACTTCTCTGGACTTTCCTTGTAGTACCTTCCTCTTGTTCCAAACATATATTTCCCTACAGATTTCTTTTATCACAAACCTTGAATTTGTAATTGCTTCCCACTAGAAAAATACTCATGAGCTTTCAGTAAATAATGCCACTGAGCATTTTATTATTTTAAAGTTCTGTTTTTTCAAGGCAACATGTGCTTTAGGCTTTTTATCTCTAACTTCATAACGAACAGAGGCATTTGAGATTCCAGTAAAAACGTATGAAGTTACTTTGGAGTTGTCAGTTTTCTAAATGTACCAGTTTATTGCCCTAGAAACAAGGCATGCAAGATGCCAAAGACCAGCTCTGCATATGCCATTTACTTGTATCAACTAACAACCACGTCAATCCTTCCCACTTCATCAGTAGAAAACAGTCAATGTGCTTTGTAGGCCATCTTCAAACTCGTGGCTCAGAAAGGCTTCTCCCTTTTATGCTCTAACTACTGGCGCGGTGCATGTATTTGTGCACAGTGAAAGGAAATTAGAAAAAATATTTTCATGTTGCTATTCGCCCTTTCTCTATAATAGAAGTGTCAACCAAATTCACGATCAATAATGACAAATCAGAACACATGTGTGCAACTGGTGCCAGCAAGAGCTTTATATGTATCATGCATGCAGGAGTCAATGTTTATTTTTAAATTGCTAGTGTGCATCATATGTACTGGCCAGTCGGTCAGTCAGACATACGTATGGTAGGTCACTTAGCCTTTATACACACACACACACACACACACACACACACACACACACACACAGATACCCAAGACACTCGGACAGTGATGGCGAACCTATGACACGCGTGTCAGAGGTGACACGCGAACTCATTTTTTTGGTTGATTTTTCTTTGTTAAATGGCATTTAAATATATAAAATAAATATTAAAAATATAAATCTTTGTTTTACTATGGTTGCAAATATCAGAAAATTTCTATATGTGACATGGCACCAGAGTTAAGTTAGGGTTTTTCAAAATGTTGACACGCCGAGCTCAAAAGGTTCGCCATCACTGCACTAGGAAATAAGAGGTGGAAATGGCAGACTTTAAAACCTCTTGGGAGAAAGAAGAGGGAAAGAAAAAGTTTTAGAGAATACTGAAAATCACAGTCCTGAGCAAAGGAGTAGGAAAAGAACTTGGCTGTCAGAATCCAACCCAGACACTGTGCTCTTTTGTTGAGTCTACTATGCATAGCAGAAAAAGGAGTAAAAGTACTGAATGTACTGAACTCTGTTCACATGTGTACAGGATTCAGTTTCTGCTGCTCAAAAAATATAATCTACTAGAGGCCCAGTGCACAAAATTTGTGCATGGATAGGGTCCCTGGGCCTGGCTGGCGATCAAGGCCTTCCTTCCTTGGCTGTCAGCCGGGGCCTTCCTTTGTTCTGTGCCGTCCCCTGGTGGTCAGCACATGTCATAGAAGCGATCGAACTCCCGGTCTCCTAGTTGAATTCCCAAGGGGACATTTTGCATATTAGCCTTTTATATATATACTAGTGGCCCAGTGCACGAAATTTGTGCACATTAAAAGGGAATTAATTAGAGAAAATATTTTAATATTGCTATTTGCCCTTTCTCTATAATAGAAGTGTCAGAGATGAAAGAAAATTAGTAAAATGTATACAAAAATCTCCCTCCTGTCAGAGTCTGGGGCACCCCGTGGGACCCAGAGTCAAGTCCCTGCCCACACGTGTGCACCTCAAAATCACACGAGACCCAGACCCGGCCAACCCCACCTCAATCAAGCCCCGCAGGGTGGGGGTTGCAGCCTCAGGTCCCCCAGCCCCAGCGCTGAGGCAGGGGACACGGCCTCAGGTCCCCCCGCCCTGGCACGAGGGTGCAACGACCATTTGCATATTAGCTCTTTATTATATAGGATATAGATAGGTGCAGTGATGGCTCATATGGAAAAAAAAAGTAACACTGATAATTATCACTGTTAATAACACCTACTTTAAAAAATAAGGGATAGGATGTCATAGATCCTTCTCCAAATTATTCTTCAAGAAGGGGATTGGTAATAGGTATGTTTTAAAGTGCTTGTCCGATTTCAATTCTTTCAGAAAAAAAGGGGGGTCTCTGCTCATGGAAATCTTTACGAAAGATTAAGTACCAAATTAATCAGCAAGGGATCCCTTCAACACAGAATTTGTTCTAAAAAGAAAAACAGGTCAGGAAAAATCAACAATTGCAGTGAACAATATAGATATTAATTAGCTGGTCAATTCTAATTGTCAATGATCTGACAAAAAGTACGCAATGAATAGCATTTTTAATGCTCTCCTGAATAAATGTATTTATTTTAAAGCTTTTCACTCTTGTTTTAATATAATCAGTGGTTTTTAGTAATGGCCGGATAGTAGAATCACTTGGGGAAAACTTAAAAAGAGGGAAATCCAAGATGGCAGCAGAGAAGGTGGAAGCTACAGTCACCTCTTCCAGGACCAAACTGGAATTGCAACTAAAATAAAGAGCAATCAACCTAAATAACCATAGACTAGCTGAAGAGAAGTCTCATAATCAAGGATACACAGAAGCCACATCGAGATTGGTGTGTGTGCGGGGGAGGGAGGGGGGAGGGGGGAGTTGGGGAGTGGAGACTTGAAAAAAAACCCCAAAAAACTGGCCCCATTCCCATAGGCAACGGCTGAGATTCAGAGGGCTATCTCAGCTGCAAAGGTTCCCCTGAGAAGTATG